ATCTGTATCATAAACAGAAGGGTTTGGGTTTGCGACCCGACTCGCCGAGTCCAAGAACTGACTCGCCGAGTCCATCTTGAGACAACTCTATTCTGTCGATTTCAGTCTATTCCAACACTCCTAACTCATAGATCTGGACTCCTTATGCTAGCATTGCACGTAAAGTTGCTAACTTTACATGCATGCAAGGTTCTATGAGGCTAGAACACCAAATCCAAGGTAATAAGAAGTTCAAGGTCAAGACATGGAGCCTTAGCTAGATATAGCCAACAACTTTGAGCTTCTAGAGCTCAAAAGTGTCCAGATCTAATGTCCAATCCATCCTCCAAGGCTTATCACCCGGATTCCACTTGGGAATGGTCCAAATGTTACAAAAGATAAGCTAGAAAAGGGATCTAGATGATTAACAGCCAAGGTATAAGCTTTATACCTTCAAATGATCTGGAATGTCACCCAAACTCTGGATCTATACTCCTTTCCTTGCTCCATTTCTTCTAGAATCTTCAAGATGCACACTAAGAGCCTTAATCTTCTCACACAAGCTCAAGAATGAAGTTGGGAGGCTAGGGTTTCGTCTCTGGACAATGGAGGCTATAAATGAAACCCTAGAAATGAGAATGAGATGCTTAAATAGGGTGCCGAGTCCCGAAATTAGGGTTTCTTAACCCAGACCAGACTCGTGGAGTCAGTCTCCCCGACTCGCCGAGTCGATCACTTAATCCGCGACACGGGTCACGCTCCGACTCGTCGAGTTCCTCCTTGGACTCGACGAGTTGACTCCTTTGACTTAGAGCTTTTCTTCCCTTTCCTGATCTTCCTGATTCTGGGTGTTACAGTTAGTGTATCTCATATTGTTGCGATACAGTTTTATAAATGATTATATATGTTGGAGTCTATCATATCTCCACAAGAGCTCTTTTAAAGAGTTGGGGCTCCACATATATTTACAAAGTATCAGTGCCTACGTCCCACACCTCATGGCTTAACAAATCCTTGTCTATCCTTATCGGGCATCAACTCTGAGGCACAGGCACATTGGTGCAACACGGTCTTACAAGTAACTATATATGTTGAAGTCTGTCCTCTCTCCATAAGGCTTTTTGGAGAGACAATCTTGGGTTCCACATATAATTACATGGCTTCAGAGCTAACGTCCCGCAACCTCATGGCTTAAGACATCCATGTCTACTCTCATCGAGCATCCGACTCTAAGGGGTAGTGTTATTGTATCTCATATTGGTGAAACACGGTTTATAAGTGATTATATTATATATATATATATATATATATATATATATATATATTATATTGGAGTCTTCAATCTCTCCACAATGACTCTTTTAGAGAGTTAATATGGGGGTTCACATATATTTACAGAGACCGATGTTTACAAAGCCTTTGTCTTATTTGCAATGCTTTGATTTTTTTATACGATTGGATTTTATAGACTAATACCTAAAAAAAGAGCAAAACAAATACAAAAAGTATATCTCATTGAATTTTATAACCCAAAAATTCAATTGACCTTAAGTTTTGTATTTCTACCTTAGTCAAGAATTGCGAAACCATCCTATCAAAAATGGAATCCTTATAGTAACTATTGAACCAAGTTCGAATCTTGAGAGCTACTAAAAGGTGGCCAGAAGCAGTATATGAGAAAGTGGCGGAGACAAGGTCAAAGTAAACGAGTATCCCAAACCGATGGGTTCGGTTTCTCAGTTTTCCAAACTCGGTTTCTGATTTAAACGCAAACTCATTCGAAAGTTTAACTTGTTGAGAACTAGGAAGCTTGTGTTGCCTTATATAACAGATGTATAGGAGCTATGTTTCATGTTATGGCCAATGTGGGATAATTTTAGAATTTTAAAAAACAAGTTGAAAAACTGATAAACAAAATAAAGTACATCCATGTAAGGGACAAGATTCAAAATAGGGATCTCAAAGTTAAAAGTTCAACACTTTACCACTTAGACAACTAATACTTGTGTTTAATTTTCACAACATCATAATATAATAGGTATAATCTATATAAAACAATGACAAAATTGCAAGAATGGTCCCTGTGGTATGTCAAAACTAGCAACTTTGGTCCAAAATGGGTTTAGCTCGCAAGGATGGTCTAATAGTTTCATTTATTTGCAAGTTTGGTCCAATTTGGTTTGAATTTTTTTGTAAAGACGATTTTGCCCTTATTGTTTAATTTTTCATTTTTGTTTTATTACATGTAATTAAAAAACAATTAAAAATATAACAAAAATAAAATACCTCTCTCTCTCTCTCTCTCTCTCTCTCTCCAAGACTCGACCTATTCATTTTCTTCCCACACTTCCATTTTCTCTCAGATGTGCTCAATCTTTATTCATTGAAAAATTGCACATCCACCGGAGACACGTCTCTTACCTTCAAATCTGCCATCTCCGTCTTCTCAGTTGACCACCAAGCACTCATTACCCTCAAATCTGTCATCTCTGTCGAAGCTTTCCTAAACGATCAAGGTGGAATCTGGATTTGTTCATCCGACGAAGACGATGGCGCTGTCCACCACTAGAGACGTCGCTCCGCCTTCTCCGACAAAGGGTTTTCTGATGGCACCATATTTGTTCGATCTACGTTAATGAAGGGCTGTAGCTCCGATATCCGATCTACGTTTTCGTCTCTTTTCGTCTTCTCCTGTGTCTCTTCAACTCCCTCTACCGACTTCAGGTGGTGGTGGTTATGCTTCAGGCAGCGGTTTCTAGAGCTATAACTCTCCTTATGGATTTCATTGACTGTTCATCTCTCTCCTAAGCTTTCTCTTTCTAAGAGGGTCGGAAATCCCCAACTTTGTTCGTCCAGTGGCTATTTTGAGTGAATGTGCCGCAGAAAACAACTAAAATCGTGATCTAGGGTTGAGATTTGTTATTGTTGTGTTTGTTATGTTTCTTTCCTTCTTCTTCTTCTATCTAGATTGTTGTTGTTGGGTTTGTTTGAAATATTTCTTGATGTCGATTCAGGTGGTGGTGAAGGGCAGTTCATCAGATCAGAAAAAATGATTTTTGGGTTTGTGAATGATTTCTGGGTTTGTGAATGTGATGTTCTTGTTCTTGAACTCAGGAAAAATGAGTGTTCTTGAGATTCATATTCATATTTGTGTGTGTATATTTTTAGTTCTAATCGACATTACAGCTAATGAGATTGAGCTTTGTTTCTGTTGTTTAAATCAAATTAATCTTGATGTATGTGTAACTGTGTATGTGTGTGTTTAGAGTCTGGAACATTTGTAAACTTAATCTAATAAATTGAACAAAATCGATAAAAGTGAAGGTTCTTCGTTTTGCAAATCCATTTCCAGACATGTGTTAATTTTGTTTGTGTTTTATTTCAGATCCAAAATCAAGAACGAAGAACGCCCATTGGGATGTTGGATGGTGGTGGTTCACGACAGGGGGAGGCGGAGGAGCTGCCACAGTCGAATGTGGTGGTTCTATTCGCCGGAGAAGTGAGAAACGAGGGAGATAGACAAGTTGGAGATGAAAGGGAGGTCGAGGAAAGGGAGGTAGTTTGAGAGAGAGAGAGAGAGAGATTTTTTTTTTCTTTTTTTGATTTCAGTAATAAAAAAATTAAAAAGGGGAAAATACCAAGGGCAAATCCGTCATTATAAAAAGTTTTAAAATTTTTGGACTAAACTCACAACAAAATGAAATTATTGGACCATCCTTGCAAGCCAAACCCATTTTGGACCAAAGTTGCTAGTTTTGACATACCACAGGGACCATTCTTGCAATTTTGTCTAAAACAATATAAAAGGAGCTACAAAAATAAATCTTTGAAAGAAGATTTGAACTTGCCACCTCCATAAACACCTCCTAATGTCTTAACCATCTAAACCAACTACAACTTATGTTATTATCTCACTAAACATATTAATATTATGTATATATACATTAAATAAAATGAAATATTTCTAAAAAAATTACATTACTGAAAATTTTTTGAGGGGCATCTCAGGATACTCCGGGGTCTATTGTGGAACCGCCCTTGATATGAGATGCAATCCCATACGGGAGGCTTGTCCTTTCGCCAAAGACATGTCCTCTCACGAATAACTTCAAAAACCGAAGAAAGTGTTGCGGTCGGTAGACAAATCGATAGTGTTTTGTTATATATAATAAGATATGAAACTAATAATTAAATAATCAATTATAAAACATCCATACAAACACCTTGCTATTATATTTTGATTGAGAATATAGTTTTTAAAATGGTAACACGAATTTTAAAACACCTATCATTTTATATATAACTAGAAAGGTTACCCCCGCTATGCGGGGGCCAGAAGCTTTCAATGTTGTTTCCGAATTGATAAATATGACAGACATAGAAAGTGCAAGGATGAAAAGTCCGGGCTTTGCCCCGGAAAAAAAATGTAAAAGTTTTGACTGCAAGGACCAGAAGTGTGAAAATGGCTAAAGAATTAAAGGGGTAGGAATTAACAACTTTTTAAAAAAGGGATCAAAATTGTCAAACCGTTAAAGTTTTGTGGCCAAACTTTAAATATTAAAAGGTTCCAAAAAAGTGTAAAAATATTGATTGCAAGGACCAAAAGTGTCAAAATGGGTAAAGAATAATGACCAAAGTTGCCAAAAAACATCCAAATTTAGTATTCCTAACTTCCAACAATAATACAGGGACCAATTCTGCCAAAAAAATGGGAAGTTGAATGGAACACAAACCCAACAATAATACAGGGACCAATGCTGCCAAAAAAATGGGAAGTTGAATTGAACACAAACAAAAAGACATGAATAAATTAATTAAAGAAGTACAAGGACCGGATATATAAATCAAGAGACCAAACCTGGACAAAGTATCCCAAATTTACTATTCCTTTGTTCCACAACTTTAATATATATATATATATATATATATATATATATATATATATATATATATATATATAACAATGACAATACTACACTCCTCTAAATCCACCGGTAAGTCCATACTCCATATTCCATAACATGAACAACTACCATTTCCTTCTTGTGTCTTTACCACACCAAAGCCACATCAACCCCACTTTCCGACTAGCCACCAAACTAACACGCGCCGGTGCTCGAGTCACCCTGGCCACCACCATCAACGGCCTCAAAACCCTCCCTTCAGTCCCCGGCCTATCTTACCATTTCTTCTCCGACGGAGGTGCTGCCGGAAAACCAAACTACCTTCAAAAAATCAAGCTCGCTGGGTCAAGTAACCTCAAAGAACTCTTGGTAACAAAAGCTAAAGAGGGTCAAACGGTGGATTTCTTAATCTATGGCATCTGCCTTCCATGGGTGGCAGAGGTGGCACGTGAACTTCAGGTGCCGTCAGCTTTATTCTTTATCCAGTCCGCAGCTTCTTTTTCGGTGGTTTATCATCTCTTCAAAAGTGATGGAGGGGTAGGAAATTCCAATATTGACCCTTCTGGTACAGTAAAAATACCAGGATTGCCCTTGTTAAGATACAGTGAAGTCCCTTCTTTTCTCCTAACTACCCATGCATTGGCTGTCGTTTTCCAAGAACACATAGAAATCCTAGAAAAAGACCCAGATTCATTCATACTAATCAACAGTTTTAACGCCTTAGAAGAAGATTCGATTGAAGCAATACCTGATCATATAAACATTTACACCGTCGGACCTTTAGTTTCCGGTGACACGGAGGAGCCGTTCGTCAGCGATACTTTTCAAGATTCCGATCGAGAAACATATCTCCGATGGCTAGACTCGAAACCTGAGAAATCAGTGGTCTACGTTTCATTCGGAAGCTTACTGAAATTACAGAGAAAGCAAAAGGAGGAGATATTTCAGGGATTAATCGAACTAGGTTACCCGTTTTTGTGGGTCATACGCAATAACGGGGAGAACGATGAAGAAGAAGTGATGCGTTACACGGCAGAAGGCGGTGGGTTGATAGTGAGATGGTGTTCGCAGGTGGCGGTGTTGAACCACGTTGCGATTGGGTGTTTCGTGACGCATTGTGGGTGGAACTCAACACTGGAGAGCGTGGTCGGTGGGGTGCCGATGGTTGGGTGTCCACAGAATGCTGATCAGAAGATGAATGCGAAGATGGTGGAGGAAGTGTGGGGGAATGGGGTGAAGGCGGTGGAGGATGGTGAAGGTGTGGTGGGGAGGGAAGAGATGAAGAGGTGTTTGGCGGTGGTGATGGGAGGTGGAGAGATAAACAGGAAGTGTGAGAAATTGAAAAGTATGGCCATGGAGGCGACTGCGGAGGAAGGATCTTCACATAGAAATTTACATCGATTCTTCGAAACCTTAAAACGTGTTTCATAATTAAAATGGGATTATTGTATTTATTGTATGGTACTATATGGTATTGGGAGCTAGCCCAATTGTATGTTAGCCCATTTATTCTCTTTAGCCAATATATGGTCTTTGCTTATAAAGTCAAATCATAATAATGTTTTGATACACAAACATGATATCAATAATATCATGCCCGGCCCAATAACCATTGCAAGCTGACAGCCCCGGACCCTTAACGCCTAACCCCTAAAGACTAAAGATCGACATTTTATGGCTGTTATATGGGTCGGAATCACCGTGGCGGCGGAACACATGGTGGCGAGAGACATATTGCAGTGGTGACAAATCCTCTCATAATTGGAATAGTAGTCTGAACAACAGCTTGGGCGTGTGGCATTCCTAACATGCCTACACTACTTCTACTCTTATAATTGGAATACTAGTCTCAACTTATTTATTATGATAGTGTATGGATATCTCTTTCGTAAAGTCATAATGGTATTAAATATTACGTTTGATCAATTTTCACATTTTTTTATGGGTATATCCTCTTTGACAAAATTCATACATCTTCTCTAAATTTTTACACTTCCATGTTCACATTAAAAATTAATTTTTATCTATTTTCGTAGTCTTCTTTCCATTGTTGTCGTTTGACATGTATTTTCTACCATATGTACGTGCATAATGTTTTTCTTAATGGGGATCTATTTGAGGAGGTTCACATGAAATCGACGCCAGGGGTTCAACATAATATTGTTCATGTTTTCCGTTACAGAAAGATCTTTATGGGCTAAACAAGCTCCTCCGGCTTTGTAGTATTACCATGTGCTCATTGGGTTTTGCTGACAGTTATGATTCCGAACTCTTCACCAAAAATTACTGATATTGGTGTTGTACTTCTCTTATTATATATTGATTACATGATTATCATAGGAAGTGATGTTCAGAGAATTGTCTTTCTGAAAGATTCTCTACAACAACATTTTGAGATGAAAGATTTGGAACTTCTTCACTACTGCCTAATTAAGACTGGAGGTGCTTGCTGGAGATACTAATATGTATTTGTGCCAAGCCACTGTATCCAATCGTATATCTCATACGGGTCTCACTAATTCTAAGATCTCATCTACACCTCTTGAACCAAACTTTCGACTCACACCAAGTGATACCTCACTTCTACCTACACCCACACTCCACCGTAAGTTGGTGGGATCTCTGGTCTATCTTACAGTCACTCGCCCAAATCTGGCATTTGCAATCCACATTGTTAGTCGGTTTATGGCAGTTCCTCAGACTTCTCATTATATTTTTCGTTTTGAAAATTTTAAGATACACTACAAGAATAAACATCTGTCCCGATGACCTCTATTCCGACGACAGCTGTCGTCGGTAAAAATTTCGCTGTGCCGATGACATGTCGTCGGTATAGTGTTCTGTTTACTTTGACCAAATAGCATTGACCTGGGACTCTATTCCGACGACTTGTTGTCTCCATAGGTGCAGCGGGAACGAAATACATTTTGGCGGTATACTGAAAACCTATGCCGACGACATGTCGTCGGCATAGGTTACGAATTTTTTAATTTTGATTTATTTATTTTCCTTGGTGCAAGAATTACTAACGACGTCGTTTGGTGGAGAGCTATCCCGACGACATGTCGTTGGGATAAAAAATGGCGATCCGTGTGACAGCTCTATACCGACAACATGTCGTCAGTATAGGGTTCTAGCTCGGTAGACATCGATTTCATTTGCAGAGATTGTTTCCTTTGTTCCTTCACCTCCCAACGAAGACTCATGCTTCAAACCCCTCCCCTTCCGGCCCCTCCCCTCCCCTTCACCGGTGAAACAATTCCGGTGTACATCTTTCGGCCACTCCTCTTCACCGGCGACGGCAACGACTTCCGATAAGCTTTCTAATTTTTTTTTGATTTCACAGTTTTTAACTTTTTTTTCACTGATTTGGTTTTTCCGGTGAAGTAGTGATCGGAGGACCACCTCACGAACCAACTTATCCTTCCGGCCACCACAATCCACAAAACAAGTAGCATATTTGACTTCTAATTTTTTTTTAATGAATTGGTGTTTTTCCGATGATCACCAGCCACCACCGGAGGACCATAGTAGAAGCCGACTACCGGAATCCCGCAAGAAGATACCAGAACAGGTTAGTATTTTTTTTCCGGCATGCACTTATACCGACGACATGTCGTCGGAATAGGTAAATAATAAAACCTTTTTTTTACATTGAAAATCACTCCCGACGACCCTTTGTAGACGACAAGTCGTCGGCATTGGTTTCTCTGTACCGACGACATCTATCCCGACGACATTTTCACTTTTACCGACGGGGCTGTTCCGACGACTTTATACGGACGACATGTCGTCGGCATAGGGGTTGAAAATGTCGTCTGTGTATATACATCGTTCCTTGTAGTGATACATCAACGACACCATGTTTCACGACTCACGAGTTACATTTCTGTTAGGTGCTATTTGTGCACCTTTTTGCACACATTTTAGTCTGATTTCATGCATCTATTTAGCACAATTGTTCTTCCTTTTTCTTGCATTTCATCATATTCATGTTAGTCTCTAGAACAACCTTATTTGCACACTTTTATGTCTTTTTCAGGTAAACCGGAGGTTGGAACGCGCTTTGGGAAGTGCCGGGAAGCATTGGTGAAGATTTCGGGATGATCGGGAGAAGAACGAAAAAGTTGGAAAAATCAAGTTTGGAATTGGAGTCAGAGAGGTACACGGGGCGTGTTGAATTTACACTGAAAAGTGGGCACGGGGCGTGTTTGACCAAAATGGGAGCTGTTGACCATGCTGAACACGGGGCGTGTCAGTTTAGTGCAAATCAACACGGGGCGTGTTGGCTGCTGAACACGACCCGTGTCAGTTTAGCCTATTTTAACACGGGCCGTGTTCGACCCAAAAACCAACTTTTGGCAGTTTTTCCTATCTTTCATATTACGGGTTGAGGGCCATTTTTACACACACACACAACATATCAGAGCATATTTTGAGAGGGGATTTCGAGGGTTTTTGCAAGGGTTTGTCCATTAATCATTTGGAAACATTAATTCTCGTTTTTGTAAGTTGTAATTACACTTAATTTCATCTTTTAGACTTGTGATCTTGTTCTAGCCATGTGTGGTTAGAACCCTAGTTTCTCCAATTTCATGTTTTGACTTTTTGGTTGTGAATCAAATCATATGACCTGATGTTTGTGTTTAATTTCTATCTAGTGAAACTAATTTTACTTCAATCGAATGTTTGATTCTAATAATGATTCTTATTGGCCATTTGAATTAGGGTTAGGTCATTCAAGTTATTCATTTTGCAAAATCCGTAATTGTTTTGTGAATTGAACTAAGTAACAAGCATTAAATTGATTTCTTATGAATGAATTTAGTGTAAATCTTTTCACACATTCTTACGCTCCCGAGCTTGTGAGGAGTATTGGGTGTTGTTGGGAACATTCACAATAAGCTTAATGCAATCTTTTAATCTACTTCTAAGAGCTTGTTTAGATTAGGTTAGTAAGGTTAGGATTAATCAAAAAGCTTGTTTTGATTGATTAATGTGGTGAATGGAAAGTGTTAGAGCTTGTTAACACTTTCAAGTACCAACTTAGATAGAATGAAACAAATGTCTTGTCATCTTTGATTCACGTTGGTAGATTGTCATACATGGAGTTGGAGTCCTTACAAAATCTGAACTTAATTCATTGGTTTAGTTGTTTACTCGTGTTTTAAATTGATTTGCTACATCATTACACTCAAACCCCCCTCTTTACTGTTGGTGACCATAGTACCTTGCGCAAAGAGGTATAGACTAATTATCCTGTGTCTCTGTGGATCGACCCGGCTTGCCTTGTACTACCTTTTAGTGCAATATAGTGGGATTCTTTTGGAGTATATCGTACCCCTATTATTTGTTGGGTTTGACACGCCCTAACAAATTGGCGCCGTTGCCGGGGACACGGTGTTACTAATTGTTTATGCCTAGATTTTTTTGAGCAGGTACATCTCTATAAAAAAAATAAAAATAAAAACAGAAAAAAAAGTGTCGCTCAGAAATGAATACTCCTTACATAGAAGACCAACTTTCTGAGCTAGCTCAGTTAGTTATGATGATTGGAAATGACCAAAGTACGCAACCTACACCTATTCCTTGTGATTTTTGCACTCAAAATGGACATCATTCCAACATGTGTCCATATTTACAAGGGGAATGGGAGGAAGTGCATGAAATGGGAAGCTACTACTGGCCAAACCAATGGAGTTATGATCAACCTCAACATGATCAATGGTGGGAAAACAACCAAGCTTGGGGAAACAACCAATGCCAAAACCCATACCAAGCTTGGGGAAATGACCAATACCAACTAACTCCACAGTTCCAACAACCATATTCTCCACCTCCCCAACAACCTGAAACGTCGAGCATGTCCTTGGAAGACATTGTCAAAAGCATTCCCACTACTACCCAGATCTTCCAAGAAACAACCTAAGCTAGCCTCAAAAGCTTAGAGCAACAAATTTCACAACTTACTCAATCTGTGAGTATATTGGAAACTCGTGGAAAACTACCATCGCAGACGGAGGAGGACCCAAGGCATACCATTTCTTCCATCACCTTGAACGATGAGAAAAATGTTGATGGCCCAAGATTGCAATTAGAAGATGGGGAAGAGGAGGAAGAAGTAGAAGTGGAGAAGGCTGATGAGGAAAAAGTAGAAATTAAGAATGCTGACATGGAAGTTGTAGAGGAGGTATTGGAGGTTGACAAAAAAGAGGCTGAGCCACCCACTACCAATGAGAAACTCCTTTCAATGGTAGACCAACCACAAGAGCTGAAAACGTTAAATTTGTTGGACCCTTCAAAGGATATGTACCCCGAGAAGGAAGACACCCAACCGGTCATCAAATCGACCACCTTATCGAAGAAGGAAAATTTGACCACCTTACTAGACAAGTACAAGAAAGGTATCGGCTGGACGATTGTTGTCATTAAGGGTCTAAGTCCAGCATGGTTCCCATGCAATAAGAAAGTCAAGTACAAGATAAGTGTTCCATTGAAGGAGGTGGCAAGAAGATTGATGTGTTGGAGAGGCATACATACTTAGAACGAAGCATATTCGGGGGCAACGTCGAGCCAACGACTTAAAACAAGGGCGGCTAACCGGGAGGCAACCCGGGGGTATTTTTGTCTTTTCCTTCAAAACATTTTCGTTTCTTTGAAGTTTTTAGTTTTTAATGTTCCAAATGTGTTGCAAAATGTTTTTATACCTGGAAAATGAATCTCGGGCTCCAAAAATATTTCACGGATAGCTTGGGGAAGATGAAGAGGAGGTTCTCACCACAATTGCAAGGCTCCAAGAACGATTCGGTAAATTCTTTCCATATCTTTAATCGTTCATATTTTGCTTAAAAATCCAATTGGTGTGCATTTGTGACTATTTTGGACTCTTACCCGACCCGACTACCATCCCCCCACCTTCTGGTGATTAGGTTGTTCCACCCTCTCCAAGCATCGGGGACGATGCTTATATTCAAGCTTGGGGAGGGGTAGAGTTGTACATTAGGATCACCTCCATGCATTAAATTTCAAAAAAAAAAATCCAAAAAGAATTTTTCGTTTATGTTCTTAGTTTCCATTTTTTTTCCTAGTTTCTTAAAAAAAATAAAAAACAAAACAAAAAAAACAAAACAACAAAAAAAAACATCTCCATGCATTTTCATTTTCATGCATTTCGTTTAAAAAAAAAGATTTACTACGAGATGAGACAATCTTTACATACAAGTGCTCCATGAAGTGGGATTCTTTTGGAGTATATCGTACCCCTATTAATTGTTGGGTTTACCGGAAGTGTAGAATCAGCTGTCATAACTAGGGGACTCAAACACCGTAATTCGAGACCCTATCCTTAGATAATAAAAAGAATTTATATTGAAACATTTTTTGGGCGGTAATAACAGCTCTAGGATGATTTGTTTTTGAATATATAAAAAGAATCTTTATCGCCAACTCTGGACCCACAGAACACGGACCTATTTGTTGACACGCGTTACCCTCGCGGTGACAGAGAGCTTAAGTATCAGATCCATACAGTCAAGAAAGAAGGAAGGGTACAACTGTCATATCTAGTACCCAAATCAGAATTTCAAGTGCCAAAACGAAGAAATCTCAAGAAATTCCAAAAATGAAGATTGAAGAATCCAAATTCAAAACGAAGTACAAATCAAAGTTCAATCAAATCAAAAGCCAATTCAAAGTCAAATCTGGCAAATGAAGAACTGTGTGATATGATACTTGTGGCTCTCGAAAAAGTGAAAGCATAGGAGCTGGGCCCCTTCGGGTGGGCTCACTGTTTCAGCGAAAGCTGATTCGCCGTGACGGGTTCTTAAGGATGCGTCGATTCTGATTCTTGGCCATCTAGTCTTAAGGACATGAGATCCGGACTATGTTATTTTCGCCCATAAAGCTTAGTAAGGTATAAAGTTTTAATAACACTAGGGTTGGATTATTGGGTTACATCGTTTCGGGTCTTCCTCACCTTGGGAGTCTGTGATATGTGGAAGGAAGCAGGATGGTCGCCTAGGTATTAAAGATTGGAGCCCCATTGATGTAAGGTTTGATCGTATATGTCCATATTTATAAAAATAAATAAAAAGATTACTTGTGTTCTTAAATCTTTCGTTGGTTCAATTTTTGTTCCTTAAGTATCTTTTGTACATATGTTTCATTTTCATGGTTTTCATCGCATGCATTCATTCTTAGCTTTTAGGATCTTTCTGTCCACATTTTTTTTCTATGTTTCTTTTTGCCATCTATGTTTCATTTTCATGGTTTTCATCGCATGCATTCATGCACTTATACTGACGACATGTCGTCGGAATAGGTAAATAATAAAACTTTTTTTTTACATTGAAAATCACTCCCGACGACCCTTTGTAGACGACAAGTCGTCGGCATTGGTTTCTCTGTACCGACGACATCTATCCCGACGACATTTTCACTTTTACCGACGGGGCTGTTCCGACGACTTTATACGGACGACATGTCGTCGACATAGGGGTTGAAAATGTCGTCTGTGTATAGACATCGTTCCTTGTAGTGATACATCAACGACACCATGTTTCACGACTCACGAGTTACATTTCTGTTAGGTGCTATTTGTGCACCTTTTAGTCCCATTTCATGCATCTATTTAGCACAATTGTTCTTCCTTTTTCTTGCATTTCATCATATTCATGTTAGTCTCTAGAACAACCTTATTTGCACACTTTTATGTCTTTTTCAGGTAAACCGGAGGTTGGAACGCGCTTTGTGATACATATTGTCTACAATGATGTTCCTCATAAACACACAAAACATATTGAGATCGATTTTCATTTCATTTGTCAACACGTTAGTCACTCTTTTCATCTTCTTTCTGTATTCTCTAATGATCAAACTCTATATATCTTTACCAAAGCTCTCCTTCCGGGACGTTTCTGTAGTATTATTGTTCACATACTCAAGCTCATTGCTCACAAACTCACAATCCTCTGTCATTTTTTATCTTTGTTTTGTTTTTGTTTTGTTTTTTTTTTTTTTTTTTTTTGGGGGGGGGGGGGGGGGGGAGGATGTTAGTTATTATTTGTATTTATGTAGTCGATGGACTTATATTAACATTGATATTAGTTAGTCTAAGGTTATACAATATAAGTTTGTTCTCTTCGTTTTGCCGTTTGCCGTGTACGAAAGCGTACACAAACATAGAATCATGGAATGACTTTTCTCACTTCTAACCAACCATAAGGATTCAAACTCAACATCTTCATGACTTCATCTTCCTCATGTCAATTAATCAAATCGAGACACTTTTTGTGAACATAATAAAGGCCCTCCTTAAGAAATAAGCATATACTATCTTAAAATCCAATCATATAATGTCTTTTTATGTGTATTAAGAGCTGGATCTCATCTCCACATCTATCTTCTACAAGACACTAAACGAGCAATTGGATCTAGCATAATCTTGTAAAACACAATAATGTATCAAACACAATAATGTATCAAACTATTCACATAAATAGATTTGTTACGTCCTTGAAGAAACTAAACGATCTTGTGAAATCATGCGACCCACAAACCTAACCCATAGCTTTCGGAACAATTGACAAGGAACCACCTTGCTTACTTTAGATATCCTAACTTTTAAAAACATTTTACTTTTGACAATTTAATCTTTTTAATTTGTAACATCATAGATACTAGGTATATTAGAAATTGTACGAGATTTTAATGTTATCAATATCCTGTATATACATCATAAAATTAAACAGAGCCAAACTTATTGACAAAAATAGAGCAAATTGTTACAATATTTGGCACGTTGTTTTGATTAGCCTAAAACTCCTTTAATAATATTATTAATTTAAAATATTTTGATCAAATCAACTAAAATAAATAGTCACTTTAAAACAAAAGAAAAAATAGAAACGATTTGATAGAAATAATTTGATAATAAAGGATTATTTGCATCAAAATGTGAACACATACTTTACGTGTATTTCTTGTTTTAAATATCACAAACACGTATTATTTATGATTTCTAAAATATCAAAAACATGTATTTTTTATGGTTTCTTTTAAATATGATGCAAAAACAAAAACGTTTATAAACTATGATATTCTAAAAACAATTTCCAGTTAAAAAAGTTGAGTCGTGAATGATATACACATCATACTATCATAGTATTATACAACTTAATAACAAGGACTGTATTAGTAATATCTGTGTACTTGAAGGACCTCTTTGTATCATTTTCCAAAATATGATCGATATCTCAGCAAAAGAAACGCCGTGACCTGTAAAGCGAAACACAATCGCTGTACTTCGAAACAAAACGCTGCTCCGACTCTCCGACCACCACCAAACATCTCTCTCTCTCTCTCTCTCTCTCTCTCTCTCTCTCTCTCTCTCATTGAGTGTTTTCGCCACCGCCGTCCACGGCCACCGTCCACTGCCACAAGTTCAGGATTTGCCCACAATGGCATATCACAACTCCCGTCACCTCCGCCTACTTTGTCTCACTTTCTTCATTCTTCTTTCTTTCACGGCCGCCGATGACGCCGCCGTAATGCAAAACTTCGCCACCACCCTATCCCCGGCGCCAACCACCTGGACTGGTACTGATTTCTGTTCATGGGAGGGTATCAATTGTGACAAGTCCAACCGTGTTACATCCATAAACATAGCTTCCAAATCCCTCACCGGAACCCTACCCCCAGACATCAACCAACTTTCTCAACTCAAAAGCCTCGCCGTCCAACGCAACTTCCTCTCCGGGGACTTACCCACCTTGGCTAACCTCACCCTCCTCGAACAAGTCACCCTCGACAGCAACAATTTCACCTCCATCCCACCGGATTTCTTTTTGGGCCTCAATAATTTACAAAACTTCAGCATCTCTTTCAACACAGATCTATCTTCATGGGTTCTGCCTGAAACTCTCTCTCAGAACACTAACTTACAAAGTTTTCAGGCCAGCAACGCCAACATCACCGGCACCATTCCGGACATTTTCGGCAGTTTACTCAATTTGCAGAGTCTCCGGTTATCCAACAACAACCTCACCGGAAACCTACCTCCAAGTTTCGGCGGTTCACAAATTCAGAATCTCTGGCTCAACAACCAACTACAAGGACTCTCCGGTACGCTTGATGTCCTCTCTTCAATGACCCAACTCAGTCAAGCATGGCTACAAGTTAACGTGTTCACCGGAGCAATCCCGGATCTTTCAAATTGCACTATCTTATTCGATCTGCAACTCCGGGATAACCAGTTAACAGGTTTAGTTCCTCAATCATTAATGTCCCTCCCCAAACTCGAAAACATCACAATCCAAAACAACAAATTACAAGGTCCATTACCTGTATTTCAACCTCGTGTTCATTCCGAATTAGGAACAGATACCAATTCCTTCTGTTTATCCACCCCCGGACCTTGCGACCCACAAGTGACGTCACTCCTTGACGTCGCCGGAGCTTTAGGGTACCCCATGTCACTCGCACAATCATGGAAAGACAACGATGCTTGCAAAGGATGGATTTTCATCAGCTGTGATTCTTCAGGGAAGAACGTGACATCTGTAAGCTTTGGAAAACAGAAATTCTCAGGTACTATTTCTCCAGCTTTTGCGAATTTGACATCGTTAAGGAGTATCTCATTAAACGATAACAATCTTGTTGGCCCCATTCCTAAAGTATTAACATCTTTACCCAACCTGCAACTTCTTGATGTCTCCAACAATAATTTATCCGGTGATATACCCGAGTTTCCAAACGGGGTGAGGTTTACAGATGGTGGTAATCCACTATTAGGTACAGGTGGCCCTAGCGTGACACCTGGATCTGGAGGGGGTCCCACTAACACAAGTGGAACCCCATCCGGGCCCACGAAAGGGGTTTCAGCTGGGATGATTGTTGGGATTGTGATTGGTGTTCTTGTTTTTGTTATGATTATATCATTTGTGTCATATAAATGTTACATCAAAAAACGAAACCAAAAAAAGGTTGGAAATCAAGAAAAGGGTAAAGATTTGGTTAAAAACGACCATGTTGGTGTTGTAGTTGATAAATTACATACCGAGGGTAGTGGGGATAAGGAAATGTCGGTTTTTGAAGGGGGTAATGTTGTAATTTCGATTCAAGTTCTCAGACAAGTGACTGGTAATTTCAATGAAGAGAACATATTAGGAAGAGGTGGATTTGGGGTTGTTTACAAAGGGGAATTACATGATGGGACTAAAATTGCAGTTAAAAGAATGGAATCGGGTGTAATGGGGACAAAAGGGTTGAAAGAATTTCAAGCTGAAATTGCTGTTTTAACAAAAGTTAGACATAGGCATCTTGTAGCTCTTCTTGGATACTGTATTAATGGAAATGAAAGGCTTCTGGTTTATGAGTATATGCCACAAGGGACTTTAAGTCAACATTTGTTTGAATGGAGGGGTAATAACGGAAATCCACTTAATTGGAAACAAAGGGTTTCGATTGCTTTGGATGTTGGAAGAGGGGTTGAGTATTTGCATAGTTTAGCTCAACAAAGTTTTATTCATAGAGATTTAAAGCCTTCTAATATTCTTCTTGGAGATGATATGAGAGCTAAAGTTGCTGATTTTGGTTTGGTCAAAAGTGCCCCTGATGGGAAACATTCTCTTGAAACAAAATTAGCAGGAACTTTTGGCTATCTTGCCCCTGAATATGCCGGTGAGTGTTTTTTTTATACCCTTTATTGTATTTTAACATTTTACCTTTTTACCTTTTTACCCTTGTTAACATGTTTTTATTTAAACAGCAACGGGAAGAGTGACTACAAAAGTCGATGTTTATGCATTTGGAGTTGTGTTAATGGAGTTAATCACAGGAAGAAAAGCCCTAGATGAGACTTTACCCGAGGACAAAAGCCATTTAGTGACATGGTTTCGAAGGGCAATTTCGTCCAAACAAGACATAATAAAATCCATGGATCAAACACTTGAGAATGATAATGAAGAAACCCTAGAAAGCATTTTCAAGGTTGCTGAGCTGGCGGGTCATTGTACTGCACGTGAGCCGCATCAAAGACCCGATATGGGCCATGCGGTTAATGTGTTGGGCCCACTTGTGGAAAGATGGAAACCTTCTAGAACCGAAGAAGAAGAAGAAGGATATGGTGGGATTGATCTTCATATGAGTCTTCCTCAAGTTTTGGAAAGGTGGCAAGCGGATGAAGGAACTTCTAGAATGTTTGGTGATGATTCTTTTAGTCAAACGGTTTCGAGTGTTCCTTCTATGCCTTCGGGAATTGGGGATACGTTTGACTCCATGAATTGTAGATAGTGAAAACGGTTGACTTTTGATTGAAAGTTTGAAGGATGATTTGGATACATATATGGGGTTTTATAATCTATGGTTCTTTGATTTGTTCATTATTTTAGATTAGAGATTGAGTTAGTTTATGGTTTCTATTCTTTGGGTGGAGATGTTGGGAGAATATGGGGAAATTTATAATTTTTTACAAAGGAAAGATGATATGGATCACCTCTATGAGAGTCATGTTGTTTCTTGATGTGTATATTTTTTTTTCTTTTGGTCATTTCTTGTTTCATGATATGTACATTCATGGTAAAACATAATAACACTTATTATATATTGAACTATTTTTTTTAATCTTGGATTAACTTATAATTTTTTCATGATGCAAATTTTAAATCATGTTGTAGAGCATATTTTTTGTGTTTTATGGAAGCATCTTTATGAGAATTAGGGTTTTGTTGTTGTGTAGCAAAGCATCTAGTGTCCACTATGTGGTATAGTTGGTCTTTGGGTGGCATACTTGTAGAAATGGTCAATGATTAGATTTTTAGGAGTCGATGTAGGAGTTTTAATTCCAATATGAATTAGGGGGTCTGTGTGGACAATAGACTGTTATGTTGGGTTCCAGAGTGGTATATTTGCATAAATGGTTAAAGATTCGAGTCTTGTTAGTTACATTTTTATTCCAATGGGGACTCTCAATTGGCTAAGTCACTTATGCCAACCAAGCTAATGTGTACCTACTTGGGGGTGATATTTGCATACATGATCAAATATTTTAAAATCAATTGTAAATTAGGGGTTTCTTTTGGACATCCTAATCATATGCCCAACCAAGTAAAGCTAAACTTTACTTGATTTAATTCTTGGGTTGCAAGAAAGATAACCTTTTGGTGAAAAGATTGTAAAGTACAAGAGAGAAAAGGAAAAAAGCCAAGTGGTGAAGCTTCTATCTTTATAATGATTTTGTGGGGTTTGAAGGGGGAATAAAACATGTTGGATGAAGACATCTAAGTTGTCAATTAAATAAAGTGTTGGTTATTATTATATTATTAAATAAAGGAAAAGGCAAACTTTGCACATGGGTGAACATGGGAGGTCTTCGATGGATAACTAATCCACCGTGGCTATTATGCCTTGTGGTCCATAATTGTATTTGATGCATGGGTTTAGGTGGTGACAATGCTGGATTTCTTTTAATATTCACAAACAAATGTTGGCCCTTTGCTTTATAAATATATAAAAAGCATAAGGATGTTTAAGTCGTTTTATTTTCATAAATTTTTTAAAAGATACAAGTATGTATTATATTTATTTAATTTATATATTAATATGAGAGCATAAAGTGTTACTTCAAAGTTCAAAGTTCGAACTTACGTTTTTCTTTTCTCCTCAAACTCAAACACAAAACCTTTACGTCTTTCTAAACAAGTTCCAACTAATTATTAGTCTGTCTAGCTAATGGCATGTGGATCCAATGATTTGAGTATTTAAGATGATTAGTTAACCATTATTATAAAACCTGATGGATAATAATATTTATTTGTTTGTATGTAATAAATGATGTGACAATCGCGTTATTTGAATCCTTGTGACAAATATTTTTTGTGGGTCAACTGCAATTTAGTTGTGCACCAACCAATCAAACCATGTGATTCCAGGAAACATAGCAACTAATTCACTTACATCTAAATGTATGGTCATACCATATTAATGTGTTGGATTTGAAAATTGAGTTTCTAATATATATATATATATATATATATATATATATATATATATATATATATATATATATATATATATATATCCTCTCTAATAAATGAATGTATTTTTGCCACTTATCAATCTCTAATGAGTTTTGACACTTGTCATTTTGTGATATTTTTTAAATAAATAATATCCACATGTCAATTTATGGTTTTTTTCAATTTTTAAAATTAAAAAGCCACATAATACTTATACTTATATATCTAAAGTATCAAATGTAATAAATATTATACTAAATTGCAATTAATATGTTTCTTCATTCCTTATTTCAAAATTTTATTTAAAAAATACTTATTATTTACATTTTAATATTTTATTTTTTTTAATCAATCCGTGTAATACACGGATTTTCCACCTATATATATATATATTATATATATATATATATATATATATATATACAGAGAGAGAACTAGGTTCAAATGTTTCTAGCAAATATTGTGTGCATAAATTGACCAATCAGAATTTAGAAAAAAAGAAATCATAAATTAAATAATAAAGGGTAGTTTAATCATTATGTATGTACAATTAATTATATTTCAAATTTATAATCCCTAAAATAATGGGTCAATTTCCCTTTAATAGCATTTAATCAAAATAACTAGTTTATAAACCCTTAAAACCATCGTTCGTCATCATCACCATAAAAACGCCGACTTCCACCCAAGCCATAAATCCTTCATCCTAGGGTTTTGTGTTCTTCCTTTTTCGATCTTGGTAAACACCTGGACCAATCTATAATCGATCCATGGTATGAAATTTTTGATTTCTTTTGTTGAAATCGATAGGAATGACGAGCAGGTAGACATGGCGAGAGAGAATAGATATCATATCTTTAAAATCCATCGATTTCTTTTAATGTTGCTGAAATCAGCCAAGGGTTTTGTGTTCGTGATTAAGGTTAGTAACAATCATCGATTAAGCTCCATTCTTTTATCTACTCATCCATTTTGGAATCCAAACAAGAATCATGAAGTATTTTATCCTTTTAGCATTAATTACACTCAATTTTTCTATCTACTAATTGTGATTTTGGAAGTGAACGAGAATCAATAATCAATTTTTTCTGTTATCAATGCTTTTGAATGTTTCTTGTATGGTTGCATTTTTTCAATCATCATAATAAACATGTCATCCAAGTGTTTGATATAATGTCAAAAAGAGAAGGTTTTTGTGTAAATGCTTGTACTGTTGCATTTTTTCAATGTTCTAAATTTGGCTTGTTTGATGATAATGTCTAATAAGTGTTTGTTGAAATGCCTGAAAGAGAATCTAAAGAATTTAACCTTGTGGTATGCATTTTGTCAGAATTACTAGCAACACATGTTTTATGTAATTGTTTAAAAAGGTAATTAATTTGACTATGTATTATTTTGGTTCAATTTGTGATTTTGAATTTCAATTTCTATTGTCCCTCGTTATTGTATATTTGGAATCTAAAATTATATTAGCAGTAAATACAATACTTTTGAATGTATTCTATGTATTCTGTCAGAATGTATTCTGCCAAATAAAATCTATGTATTCTGCCAGAATATATTCTATGTATTTTGTCATATTCTATGTATTCTACCAGAATATATAAAGTGATAGTTAATTGCAAGTAACATGTTTTTAACCATTATTAGTTTTTGTTGTATTTTTGATAGGAATGGATGGAAAAATGCGTTGAAGACTTAATAGGAATAACTTGAAGAATGAATAAAGTTTGATCATACTCACAATTTAAGAATGTTGTTATTTTTAAGAATTTTATTCATTTTTGTTGATATTCTTTTAGAATATGTATAATTATATTAAAATGAATAAGACTTTTTGTCTGTAAGAATATGTATGAATTTGTATTTAAGTTCGGATGTATAAGAATATATTAGAATGTTGTTATTTTTCAACATCGGATTCAAGAATTTTGTTATTCTTCAATAATATTCTAATAGAATAAAAATCTGAAAGAACATCATTTTAACAAAAAAAATATTCTGACAGAATAAAACCGGTTATGTTTACAAATTACGTTAGATTAAAATTGAATCAATTAAAAAAATTCAGATTTTTAAAATTAGGAGAATTAATTATCCCTAAAAATCCAAAAATTTCCTTTTATAAATGTAGTTAATTGTCCAAAATACCCTTTTGCTAAAATTTGTGTGATTATATAGTACATGTTATCCCATTGTAATATCATCCACTCTCAAATCATGTCCATTGATTAATTCCATCCGTTGGTCCAGATCTGTGCATTCTAGCACACAATAGTTAGTAAAAACAAAATAATCTAAGCCTATATATATATATATATATATATATATATATATATATAATATATATATCGAAAAATTAACCATTTTATTCAAGTTAATGAGTTATTACTCTTTATGCTATGATTTATTGAAAAATTAAATCTTTTATTTAAGATTATGAATTATTACTCATTGTGTTTTGGTTTATTGAAAAATTAAAGTTTTTATTTGAGATTATGAGTTATTATTTTGGTTTATTGAAAAATTGAACATTTTATTTGAAAATAAAAATTATTTAATCTTTTGTTTTGGATTATGGAATTACTAATTCCTTTTGTCATACATTATGGGTTATTAAGCCTTTGATATTGGATTTGGGTTGTTACATCTTTGCTTTTGAGTTATGAGTTATTAAACTCTTAATTTAATTTATGGATATTATGCCATTGATTTTAAATATGGGTTCATACATTCTTTTGCTTATGGATATTTGAGTCGTTAGCACTCTATATACGTTAGCACTCTATATACGTATTAGTTTATTAAAGTCTTATAGTATTTTGTTGATATCATAATGATTTCAGAGGATTGATTTGAGTGTAATGATTGGCATCATTACATATTCAAAATAAAACAATCTTGGTATTTTCACTAGACATTTCATTGTCTAACTTATTATGATTTATGTTTAGATTGAATATTTAGGAGTTGTATTAAGAAGTAGCAAGGACATTTTAAAGGCCATCGATTGTGTGGTTTATTTTGAACTACTTGATGATATATAATGATTACTACATCACTCCTTAAAACAAAACAATGATATTTTTGTGATACTATTACCGTAACACTATTTTGAATTATTGAGACATTTTATGTGTTGTTAACTTTGAAGTATTTTGAAACTATGTAGGGACCGTATTTTACACACATTTTCTGTACTGTTAACTTTGAAGTATTTTAAAACTATCTTTGGTTAGTTATGAGTTATTAAACTCTTGAATTTGATTTATGGATTATGCCATTGATTTTAAATATTAGTTCATTCACTCTTTTGTTTCTGGATATTTGAGTTCGTTAGCACTCTACATATTAGTTTATTAAATTCTTATAGTATTTGTTTGCAAAACCAACATCTTCTAAGCAGTGCAAAAACAATTTGTTAAAAATCTCTATTCGTTTCCGTAAGAAAATTGTTTTAAGATTTTAGAACCAGCAAACGAAAACAA